CCTTCCCCCGGGAGAAATGGCTTACAGTTCGTTTAGTTTTGGCTGCTAATGTCGTGGGGATTAAGTTCGAATCAAAGCAATGTACTGTGACTCCGTAAAATGCAGCAGCGAGAGAAAAAGAAAGGAGAGGAGAAATACTAAACCTAAAGAAGTGCCTTAAAAAATAATTAAACAATTAAGTTTAGCGAGAGCACCATAATAAAACTATTAACTGCCGGCGAATGCATTTAAATTGCTTGCTTAGCGAGGAGAGGAAAGTGCGGGGCAGTGCGCTGCTGCTGCGGATCCAATAACCATCAATGTCTGGCGAATGTCTGAGAGATGCCTTTGAAATTTGCTTTTCATATAAAAATAATTGTTATGCCCGAGAATAAAATTTAAACTGGAGGACGACAAGCTGGAATAAAAAAAAAAAGGGAAAGGAGCCTCGCGGCGGGATGCAGTTCAATAAACTGCGAAAAAGGAAGGCAAAGGAATGCTTCGAGGCGCTCGTTTGGTAGAAAAATGAAATTGGAAATTGCATTTGTTTTTGTTTTTGGCTTTTGCCTTGTTTGTACATAAAGCCCTCATCTTCAGCCTGGCCAATCGAAGAAAGCCATTATGCCATAGCACATTGAACGCACGATAAATAACCCAAGCAGAGACCCAAAGTCCAGTCAGTCTGTGGCAACCAAGAACCGAGAACCGAGAACTAAGAGGGCCAAATACAATTTATTTGCAAATTGATATTTAAAGGTCAGAGGGATGCTAGCCGGCCAAGAGCAGCTTAGGGCCATCAAGAGCATTTGGCTAATGGCAAATGCAAAAGATGCAAAAATATATTTTATAGAGAGAAGGCGGAGAAATTAAAATGCTTTCTGAGAGAAAGCTGCTTGTCAGTGAAAGGAAAATTCTTGCTTATGACAGGGGGACATCAAGAACTTGGCACAGGACATGGCCAAGAGTTTGGGGGCAAAAGAAAGTTTCTTGAACTTGCAGCTTATCAAAAAAAACATTTCGACTGAGCCGCCTAATGAAGTTATAACCCAGACAAAACCTGACTAGATATGCAAAGCTCTTTCCTTCCTTCCTTCCTTCCTTTTTTTTTTTGTGTTTACTTTTTTATTTTGCAATTGTGTCGCGCATTTGAATTAAGTGCAAATGACATGAGATTTTGTAGGGAAAACAATGCGAATAGCAGCTGCCTCTTAGGAGTTGCAACCCCTCGACAAGCTTTTAAGCCACTTCACAGTTGTACAACAGAGTGCAGTTCCCCATGCCGCCGCCGCCCTCGACTTTTCTTTTCCCTTTGACTTGGCACTCCTTTTGCTTGTTTTTCTTTCCCCACGTTCCGGTGCAGTTTTCATTGTCTGGCTGGGTACTTTTTGAATTTATTGAAATGTTTGTTTGTCTGCCATGTTTTGCTGTACAGAGAGAGGAAATCTGTGTTGGAAAGTGATTGATATTTGTTGATTAATAAAGAAGAAGAAGCTTAAAGAAGCCAAAGAATATCTGAAATTCTTGTCATAAGATTAAAAATATATCTAAGATACTTTCAATTAATAAGTTTTAGTTCCTTTTCCCTGTGTAGTTGTTGCCTGGTTTGCCTGCATTGTTGCTGCTGCTTCCACCGCCCTCTAATTCTGTCCTCGATCCTTTCCCAGCTGCGCCTGGCTGTATGCTATGCTTTCTGTTGTTGTCGCAAAATATTATTACTCCATTTCATTTATAAAAGTGCTGCTGCTGCCCCATCCCCCCGAATGTTGCCACTGCAATTCCATTTCATTGTCAGTGTCTTGTGTTTTGTATTTTGTGTTCTGAGTTCTGGGTTCTAGGTTCTAGGTTCTGGGTTCTGGGTGGGTTTTCCTCTTGCTGGGCCAAGAGAAGTTGTTGGTGGCATTGTTGGTGGCTTGTCATTGGCTTTAACTCCTAATCCGCAGGTCACATCTGGGCCATTGATCAAAGTGTCTTGCTGAGGAGACAGCAAACTTATTCCGCTGCTTAAATTAAGCACCTAGCACCACGCCCACTATGGCAAACAGCCGTCAGCCCCACAGCCCACGAGGAGCATGACTGCTGTCAGTTTTCCCGATGACAATTTTCAAATTTATTCTGCCATTTCTTTTGTCTCTGCGGCGAAAAACGCCTACGGTTCAGCAGCTATGCGATTTGAGGGGGAAAACCATTTAAAAGGCAGACAATTTTTCAATTTCCACACACACACACACACTCCTTTGACAATTGAGAATAAACAGTTTTTCCGGGTTAATAAAATAGTTTTTCCTAGCAGCAGTTACACGCCCACACCGACTAATGAGGAATTTTCCTGCTCTTTAAGAAGCTCATGGAGGAAAAGGTAACTAAAGAAGGAGAGAGGGAGGCTCACATGTTTGCCTTCTGTCTGCACAAACACGCTGGGAAAACTCACAAAGGCGAATTGGAATATTAAACACTTTTATTAACTTTTGCATAAAGCTTAAAGAAGCCAAGAAAAAAGAAGAAGAAAGAGGGGGGAAAACCAACATGGGAGGAGGCAGGAGTGAAATATTTATGGCTGGCATTTTTAATGGATTAACCAGCAGTAGTGGCAGCTCTCCAGTAGAGGACTTCCGCCAGCACTTAGGCCAAGGAATGCCATTTAATTTAATGTGTTTATGAAAAGCCCAGCACTTTGAACCCAAACCCAATTCCAAACCAGAAACAGCTACAAAATCGAAGTCGAAACCAATTGAATTGTAGTTTCTGGTTGGCCATTGTTTTGGATCTTTTGGGGTGTGGCAAGAAAACCTTTTTGATTTGTGGCACTAGCGAGTTTGGGTGTCGGGAGGAAGTGCTGCCTGGCCTGATTTATGCGTCCAATGTCCAGAGGAAGTGACAACTCAATGGCTTCATTAGTGTCCTCCGATAGAGTCCTGGACAAGACCTTCACTTCGAGGAGTGTCGGGAGTTTATTGCACTTCGACTTTTGACTTTTCTTCTTAGGGCCATGAAAAGTTGTTGGCTTTCTTCAGCTATAATCTCAAATTCAGAAATAATATTTTCATGCTTATAATTTGTTCAAGTTCCACACTGCGGTTTTCCCAAAAACTTTCCACACGCGACTCTCATAAATTATGAAGAGGAGAGGTTGGAGCCCGCAATCCTTTGGCCCCGCCTGAGTTCATTCTCTGTTTTTGGCCAACGACCGTCATCTCAGAAGAACTCAACTGCTGGCAGAGATGAAATTAGCAAATCGTCACGTAGCTGGTTGGGAAATGGGAAATATTTATGGCTACAACAGAGAGGAAAATCAGGGAAATATTGGTTAATATTGGCCCTTCTCTCTAGTAAGCTTCTGACTTAAAGCCTTTATACTTCCTATTACTAATAATATATAATATTTGATAAAAATAGGAAGAACTATAAGTCATTTCCCGCAGTGTAAGAAAATCCTTAAGAAAAACTGCGAATGGCAGGCCAACGTTTTGATGGAATGTGCGATACATGTGCGTCTGCATCCTTTTTATTCCACTTTTTTGGCCATATTCAAGGCGATAGAGGAGAGCAGATTATTGCTGCAGTTGCTCCTGCTATCTGGGTTATTGTTATTGTCCGTAATCCCAGACGAGCACCACTCACCCACAGATACATGCATTCTCCTTGAGCAATCAACTTAATTGCTTTAGCAACTCACCCCCCCGAGATTTTCCGCCGCTTGCGAGAGGAGTTTTCTTTTGTTTAATGAGTGAAAATTGTGCCTCGCTTGTATCGCTTACGCAGGGAATTTTCCCGCCCCTTTCCATTTCCACTTTTCGGCAGGCAAACATTCATTAATCGAATCCGTTGTTCTGCAACAATGTTGGGAGTTGATTTTATTGTTGCCAAGATTTATGAGCTCTCCGGCCTGGCCCCCAAGAAGTTGGCAAACAAACATTGCAATGTGGGCCCCGTGCAAATATTAATTTGTTGATTATTTAGCTTGAGTAGGGAGTGGGGGGCGGGGCGGTGAGTGTCAACTCCCTTGAAGAAGAGAACAAAAGTTCTGTGCAAATATTGGCAAGAGTTTAAGCGCTTTGCCCCCTTCCAGCTCTCTCTCTCTCTCTTTGGGCCATATTAAAAGTGCATTAAACCTGTCCCAGAAAGACATTCCTCGGCCCTGCAATTGATTGGTTCTACGTGTCCTTTGCCTTAATTCCGAAGCATTCCAATGTCATTCCACTAAATTATTCAACCTGGCTATAACCCACTCTTCAGTTTGGTATATATATATATCCATGTCTGAGTGCTGTTATTCCGTCTGGTCAGGTGCCAGACCTCGGACCTCAGACCTCGGACCTCGGACCATCGTCAATTACCCAAACAGAGTCACAAATATTCCCTCATCAATGGGTTAGTTGGCTCTGATTGGCGATGGCTCAAACTATTCCCACCTTAGCCATATTTCGTAGATCCTTTCAACACCTTTTGCCTTTTTGACGGCTTTATTACCAGCTGGTTGAGGAGTGGAAGTGTGGGTCCATCTGCCGGCTCGCCATATTGATTATCGATTTGGGAATTGGCCTGGACTAGCTGACTGGCTGACTGGCTGACTTAACTTGGCTCTATATACACCAGCAGCCAGCACCTGGCTAGCTAGCTGTGTGTTTTGTGTGCATTCAATTTGGGCAACGTGTTAGCCACTTTGGCTTAGACAACACGAGGAGAGTCGCCCGCTCTGTTTTCCCTGGCACGTTTGGATTTTATGGTTCATTTGTTGGCGCTTAGACGCTGGCTGGTTGCTTCGTTTAGTCCCTCGGCAGACATATATTGGCAATGTTCATTGGCTCATTGGACACCACCTTCCAGTTGGTGGCGCTGGGAACAGTGGTCTAGGGTAAACGAACTTTCTATAATTTGGATATTGCGTTTTGTGGGGAAAATTGAATTATTATTAAAAACTTAAGCTATATTCCAATCCCATTTTCCAGTCACTTTTACTATCTTTTCTACTCTGTTTCATCAATCCAAACTCATTACCTTTATTCTGTTAAATTTACTTCCAGATCGAGGACGAGGGCAACCACGGCAACGATGAGACGCGCCTCTTCATCCTCTCCTCGTTGGCTCAATCCCAGATGAGCCGGGTGGCCTGCATTCTGTGCGAGGAGCCGCTGCTGGTCTTCGATCGTTATCCCCTGGTCGATGGCTCCTTCTTCCTGAGTCCCAAGCAGCATTCCAGCGGCTGCATCGAGGTGAGTAACGTAGATAGCTATCCATCTTTAGTTTAAAATTTCTCTCTGTGTACTCATCATTTATTAAACGTCAAATGTGGCATGGCACATGGCTCTTGCACACCCACGACCACGCAGCTTTCACTCGCCCACGTGCCCCCGAGAACTTTCAGCTGCAATTAGCGGGCGAACTACTCCAGAGGTACCTCCACTTCGAGTCGCCTCCGACCGTTTGCCACTCCCATTACCATCCTTCTGCCGTTTTTCTGGGGACAGACAGACCCCGCAATTTATGACCCATTTAAGTCAGCGTAATTACGCCAGCGCCCAAAGAAGAGGGCGGGGAAAAACTGCAGCTTGCAGTTTGCAGTTTGCATTTCACATTCTGGTTGGAGAGGAACTGCACGCACGACCTACGCCTCCATGGGCTTTACATTTTCCCTGGTTACCCTACCCTGCTTTCATGGCTTTCCCTAGCTGTGCCTGTCAGTCTCGCTGTTGGCCTCTCCTCTGCCCCCTCAACTTCTGGGGCTTTAAATTAAGCCTGGATTTATAATTCATTGCCAGCTGCCGCTGCAGCAATTGGAATTGGCTCCTTTGTATGTGGCTGCCAGCTCTCCCTCCTCTCCCTTGACTTTGACTCTGGCTCTGGGGTCTTCTGTTCGTGGGCGGCGGCAGCCATCTCCTGGCCAAGTTTATGCATTTTGCATTTTATTTGAAATTATTATGTCGCGTCGCAATGGCAGTTCTGCTGCTCTACTCCCCGCCCTACCCTCCGCTTTCTTGGCCTTTTGTCAGGCATGCAAGAATGCGCTTTGGGTCCCTGGGAAAGCCCCGCGCTTCCTCGCCCTTTGACAAAAGCGGAAAGTTGATACCCTAACAAAGGCAGCCGTTTGCCAACTGGCGGTTTATTTGCCTGCCTTTGAAAGGGTATTTGGAAAAGGAAAGAATGCATAGAAATCCTTTGTAGGTTTGTTAGTATAGAAAACTGTGTAAAAAAGGATCTTTGGCAGGCTGTTTGCCTACGTTTTAAGGGATTACTCATTATTTTCTTGGGGTCTTTAAGAGGCTGAACCATAAACTAGCTGAAAACTCTTAAAAATCAAGATTATATAACCATATTTGAACTTTATTAGCCAAACAATATCCATTTATAACCCTTCTGCAAGCCCAAACTTACCCACAGAGAGTATCCAGGGGCTTGGGAGTCGCCCTTGCCATTCATTCTTTTTCCTGCCATAATTTCTCATTGTTGGCGTGTCTGGGGCCTGGTGGTGGCCCTGGCCCCTGGGCTCCTGTTTGAATTATGCGGCTGGTGCCGCCTGCCCCTTTTTGTCCTTTTGTCTGCACCTTTTTTCACCGCTTCCGCTCTCTCACACCCCTGACTTCATCCTCTTTCCTTTCTTTTTCCAGGTTAAATACGAGGGACGCACTCTCTACTTGACCTGTGTCTGCATGAGCTGCTTGGACGGTACCTCCAGCAGCCGCGTCATCAACTGCAGGTGAGCATCATCATCAAAGGGGCAATGTGGTTGCAAGTTATGAATTTCTAAAATGATAATTTTTCGCTTTCTGCTCCGTTTGCAGATTCTGCAAGGAGCCCTGGGATGGCTCCAGCCTGGTCCTGGGCACCATGTACGCCTACGACATCTTTGCGGCCATGCCCTGCTGCTCCGAGAGGTTCAAGGTGAGTTTTTAGCTTAATAATTTTGATATTAAATCAGTTTAAGAATGTATTTTACGGATAATCCTATATAACTTGCATGAAAATCTTTGTAATGTTCCCCATTTTCCGTTTCCTTTTTTACCTTTACAGTGCAATAACTGCTTCAAGATGCTGATGCATCCGCAGCAAAGGCTGAGCTTCTACAGTGACTACTCGCACGGGGTGACCTGTCCGTATTGCAACACCCAGGACACGCACTTCGTCAAGCCTTTGAGCTTCTGCTACGCCAAGAGCCCGGCGACACGGCTGCCGACGCTCGCATAACATGAGGCCCCGTTGGAGTCGCCCGTGGGAACAGGTGCCACCGCCACTCAGGTGCCAAATGCCCAGGGCGCTCCAACGGCCTCCGGCTGCAGCAACTCCATCACGCAGAAGCAGCCACCGAAGCAGCCCCTCTACAATGCCGCCATCGATTACTCGGCACCGCTGCAGCAGCAAATTAATCCGGACTTGATTGGGGCTCATCCGCATGCCCAGCAGCATCAGCAGCAGGTGCGACAGCAGCAGCAACCACAACAACAGCAGCAACAGCAACAGCAGCAGCAGCAGATACAACAGAAACAGTCACAACAACAGCAGCAGCAGCAGCAGCAACATCAGCCTGCGGTCAGCTCTTTTCAGAGGGCCAACTTCCCAGAGCAGCCACATAAAACCATGAACATGATGGACATGGCAGATGTGATGAGCAAATACCAGCAGCAGCAGAAACAGCAGCAGCAGCAGCAGCAACAGCAACAGCGCCAGCAGCCACAGCAGCAACATGCAACACAGAAAGGACTCGAGGGCCTCCTATTAACCAACACAAACAGCAACAGCAACAGCAACAACAACAGCAGCAGCAGCAGCAGCAGTATTAGTAACTTAATCATTAGCCATAATTCAGCCAGCAATCCAGGCAGCAAAATGCAACCCACTTGGGGCCAAAGCGATGCCATCTCGGCGTTGTGGGGCTGCTCCAGCAGCAGCAGCGGTTGCTCCTCGGGCAGCGGTTCGCAGCCCTCGCTGAGCCCGACGGCCAGCAGTCATGGCAACGATAGCTCCAAGATGATGTTGTGGGCGGCACAGAGTTCGCCACAGAATGCTGCAACACTCAGGGATGGATTCAAGGAGTTGCAACAGCAACAGCAGCAGCAGCAGGTGCAACAGCAACTGCCACATGCAGCCTCGCCCACAGCCTCGTTGACCAGTTCCAGTTCCTCGTCGAACGGCTGGAGTGGCTCGCACTATGGCAAGCCCAATATCTGGGAACTGCCAGGATCCGCAGGCCAAAGGACACCGGCCAGCAGCCACGACATCTTCACCGATCTCCTGTGCAACCTGAGCATCAGCCAGGACAACACCAGCAGCCAGCAGGCCAAAGCCGATGCCTCCGACGTCAGCTCGAACTCGTCCTCGTCAGCAGGGGAACTCCTGGAAGCGGCCAACATCTGGAGATTCCCCGAGTACGCCAGCCAGCTGTACAACGAGGAGCCTACCGGCGGGGCAGCTGCCTGCATGCAGCTCTTCAACGACTATCTCAACATGAACTAAGGACCAGGAGGAGGACCCACCCGCAGCCTGCACCATTTGTTACTCTAGCTAAATTGAAAAAACAAAAGGGAAAAGTTAAAAGAGAGTAAGCAGGAAGGAGGAGAAAGTCGGACCGAAAGTTTTAGTTTTTAAAATCATTTGATTTTTTATATCAATCACACACACACACACACAAGCACATCTAAAACCGAGAGAAAACAATGCAAACTAAAAACAATTTCTTGTTATTTTTGTTGAGTTTTTTTTAGTTCTTTGTTTTTACACACCTACCTAAACGAAAGCAAAAGCAATTTTTAGTTTTATTTTTTAAAGCAAATTTTTTTATACATTTTACCAAAAAAAAAAACAAAAACGAAATGTAAAACACAAAAAAAAAAAGAGGGAGAAAGAAGGAGGAGAAAGAGAAGTAACATTTACATCACGAAGAAAGGGAAAAGTTTTATTTAGCAAAAATTGAAGGCAGGGCATTAAATTGTTTAAACAAATCATGATAATTGCTGTGCTGCTCAATAATACAAAAACAAAAATGAAAACAAAAACAAAATGAAAAGCAAAAGAGAAGAAGAAGAAGAAGGATAATAAGAGTAGAGTAGGAGAGTGTAAGCGAGCGTAAGAGAGCGTATGAGTGCGTAAGAGAGCGTAAGAGAAGCGCAGAGTAGGGGAGAACATGAAACATTTGCTACAATTTATGAAACCTAAAATTACAAACCTAAATTTAAAACAAAAACAACAACCTAATCGATAAGTTGCACATCTTTACCTAAGCGATTGGTAATTATTCCTAGTTTTAGTAAGCGGAACGAGAACCTCTAGAACCGATTAAGTTTCCAACACTCTCTCTCTCTCCAGTTCAGTTAGGTCCTTAAAGCAAAACCCAAACCACCCACCCACCCACTCACACACACATAGCAGCCAGGGGCGGCACATGCAACAAGAGTTCGACCCTTCTTTCAGGAGTACTTCAAGCAGCCCATCCCCACCCACGCTCCCCCTAAACTCTTAGTTAAGTCCTTGAAAAACAAAAAGAAAAAAAAAACCAAAATATAATACAACTACTTTCGGCGCAGCGTGATCATTAATTAGTAAGTTTAAGGTTAGGTTTAGCGATCTTCTTGTATATGTCTAGGGTTCTCCTCTTTGTCTTAACTAGCAGAGCAGCCGTATGTGATGGATCTCTAAAGGTAGAGTGAGGAGGCCGCAGTGGAAGCTAACTCACCTGCAGGCACTCACTATCGATAGGTTTAGTAGGGTTAAGGACGATTTTTCTAAATTTTAAATATGGTATGCAAGCAAACATCCAACAATTTATAGAGCGGTTCAATGTTTCCTGTTTTGTGTTTATTCCGTGCTAAGAAAAGTCACCAAAACTTGGGGGGAAAAGTCCTTCTCCTTATCCTCTCTTTACCCAACTCGAATGTGAAATTTTAATCAAATTAAAAGAAAAACCCAATTGATATGCCACCCCCTCCATCTGTCAAAGATAGTTTAGGAAACTCCATCACCCAAACCTGTGATCGATTTTTCACACCTCCAAATCCTAGTTTCCCCTTTCCCTGTTTAGTTTCTTTTCTTCAGAACACCCTGTGAAAATTTGAATAAAATTGAAATTAAAACCCTCTTGATATGACCCCAACTGTGAAAGGACTTTAGGTAACCTAAAGCTTATAAAAACCACTTTCCCTTTCTGTGAAAATTTTGATGAAATTGAAAGTAAAACCCTTTTGATATTGCCCCATCTGTGAGAGTCTTAAATTTTCGGTTATTTCTCTTTTCCATTTTCAAACTCTGTGAAATTTTTAATGAAATTAAAAACAAAACCCAACTGATATTAACCCTTCTGTGAGTAGAAGTTTAGGCCAGCTAAACCTTAAACCAGATCAGCAGAAACTGTGTTAGATTTTTCCTCTTCGGTTCTTATACTTTTCCATTTTCAAATTGTGAGAAATTTTAATGAAATTAAAAGTAAAACCCTTTTGATATTCCCCCTCTGTGAGAAAGTGTTTAGGCAGCCTAAACCCAAAAACCGATCAGCAGGAACTGTGTTATATAACGCCCCCTTTCCCCCTTAAACCTTCGTGTTCGATACGAACCTTAAAACGTAGACCCCGTAAGTTTCGTCAAATCATCTGTGAACGGAGTGTCGTGACTTCGCCAAAAGGTTTTCCCCTCCGGAAAAACAGATATTGGTGGGAAGACTCGGCACTTCTTGGAAAACCTTCACTGTGAGTGTTCGTAAGGAACGAAATTTTTATGAAAAATTCTAAAACCCCACGAAATTGTGACTAGGCCAGGCCCCATCTAATCCCTTGTGAAATTGAGTTGAAAACAAACATTTTCAGAAAATGTCTAAACCACCACCCCAGCACCAAAATTGCCTCCCCCAAAGACAGCCAAACTGTGACGACCCGAGATTTGCTCAAACCCCTGTGAAAAGCCCTTGCAAAGGATGAAGATTTTTGAGAAAAAATTAAAAACCCCGAAAAGGTGATATTCTCTGTTTTTCATTTTTGATTATTTTGAAAAGTTTTCAGAAAAGTGATAATCTGTAATCCTGTGTTTCGATCAAGGCATTGCCTGGAATTTTTTCAAAAAGAATTCAAAACCCTTCTCAAATATCTGTGAGTTCCCCCCTCCCTGAAAGCCAACCCTATGAACCCCTTTTAACCCCCTTTTTGGTGACTTTTGGTGAGGGATCTGCTTGAAATGCGTAAACCTGGGGATCAGGAAAGGGATCTTAGCCTTGCATGTGCTGCAGTTTTTTTTTCCAGTAATCACAAATCGAAGGCCTCCTTTTGGGCATTTAGCATTGCCGCCATTTACATACCAAATAATACACGTTAATTAACGACATAAACATTTTTTTCAGAACGCATGAAGGGACAAACTGAGTGATAGTAAATTTTTTTGTATACAAAAGCTACGGCAACGAGACGTCATCGTCATGCCTACTTATATAGAACTACCGTTAAGTTTAATAAGTACATACCCTATAAAGCCTAACCTTTAAACCTAAAAACCTAAAACCTAAAACCTAAAAATCTAAATTGATAGAAACGACACTTTTTGGCATTTACTTGAGAGGATTATATATAAGTTTGGCACAGTTTATATATAATTTTCGTCTAAATTTAAGGTTTTAATCTAATCTAATACGTGTACGCGCAGGAGGAAGGAGAGGAAGTGAACTTATTTATAGGCAAAACAAAACCCACACGAACACACACACACAGAGAGATACAGCATATAGTTATATAGATATTTAATTGGAGTAACCTTTAGCCCTTCACTACACTACACTACATACACTACACTACACTACAAATTATATATTGGTAATAAGTTCTATGCAAGCTAAAGCAGCACCCGCACCACCAACTACTACGTAAGTCAGCCCGTGTTTTAGTTTGATTCAGTGTTTGTTTTAGTTAAATGTGCTAGGACGAAGCCTCGATCGCGTCCAGTCGATGGAAATGATAAAGTAAAAACCACAAACTTATGCCCACCTCAGCCACCAAGAAGAATCGCATATATAGAGAGCAACCCCTAAAAACAGAAATAGTCAGACTTCCGATCGATCACAACAAACTAACAAATGAATAAAACTTAGTAGGAGTCTTTAAGTAAGAGCAAGCAAGAGAGATGGCGTTTGAGCGAGAGAGTAAAACACATTAAAATGTAATTTATATTACCTCCTTAGCAAAAATCAATAACAAATAACGAAATAACAAATAACAAATAACGAATAACGAAATAACAATTAACAATGTTTTCTAAATGCATATTAAACTATGATAAATCAAGGCAAAGTAAAGCGAAAAACAAAACATGTACGTTTAAATCAAGTAATCAATTTATAAACAATTAAAAGCAGTTTTTGTTTAGTTCATAATTTGTACTCAAGAAGCGAGAAGCACTTATTATATTTTTATGTTAAACAAATGAAATATTTGCGCGCCTCCCTTACCTCCCCCATGATTTCAACTTTCTTCAGTTTATGGAACCTGCCAAAACCCGTGTAGAACCCAAAAAAGCAGCAGCAAAATGTTTAAACTTTAACCGAAATTCTTAAAAACCAATTTTTGATGGCTCCCTCCGAGCTCTCTCAGATCATCTGATGACGAAATGTACAAATTGGTGAAGTTTAGGCACTTTCAACCGCGATTCAACCTCTGATTTTCCCCCCCTTTAAGGCCAAGGCAATATGGCGCAGCAGATATTTCCCAAATTATAATCCTGATCCCCCACTTTGTAACCCCAATTCCCCAATCCTTATCCTATGTACCAAATTTATAGATTGATTTTATTTTGCCACCCCCGAATGTAATTTTTGTTTAATTTTACAATACACACTTAGCACACTTTTGTTTATGCCTAATTCGTAATGTGTAATATATGTATACTTTGTACCTTTTTATGTTATATACACAAGACCCTAAGGAACCTCCCCCCGAAAAGGAATCAATCCCTCGCCCAGTGTTTAATCCCCCCTACGCTCCTCCTCTCCTACACATTTTGGCAATTCAACTTGAATGTCTACTTTTAATGTAATTTAGTTGAATATTTTAGTTGATTTTTATTATTATTATTCGTACTCCATGCTCCCCGTGTGGAAAACTAAATAAATTTAATTCTATATCAATAAAAAAAAAAAAAAAAAAAAAAAAAAAGGACAAAAATTACATTACTTTCTGCTATTATTATTACTACAATTAATATTGAATTTTTGTTGAATTTTCAAATGATTAAATGAAATATTTTTAATAATTTCCATTTGGTTTTATTTCAACCCAACCCCCTTGTGTTTTTCGTTCTCTTTTTTTTCGGTTGCAACTGCATTGATAAAGCCCATAAAAATGGGAGATAAACAAAAAACTAAATGCCGGACGAGAAACTGCCGACTAGAAGGAGCAGGAACCTTTACCGAAATGTATTGCTTAGTATCTGGTGGGGAACTACCTAGAACTGCCTATCCAGTTTCCTTCGATCGCGACTTAGTTTAGCAGCTACCTCAGTTTAGTCACAACGCTAGAGTCTTAGTTACACAAGTACATATTATATATACTTTACTCGACGTAGGAACATGTTAATCGCAGCTTTTAAAACAGATAGCTTAGATTGTACGCGAAGAAGTACGATTTGATTAGAGCCCCAAATTTTGGATTATATAACCCTAAACTCCCAGTCCCCCTTAGCTTTCCGTTGTTCTTTAGCCAACTTGCTTACTGAGTTACCTGCGTCCCCTGATGCACTAAATCAATTTCTTAGTTGAATTTTGAGTTGAAAGCGCAGAGAAAGCTGAGCTGAGCAGATGAAAATGTGAGGATTAAGATGAGATGATGGTTGGTCCATGTTGTAGTCGAATTTTTGTTCACGTTTGTTCTCGTTAAGTTGAAGATTTCATGCCAAAGTACAAACCTTAAATCAATTCTTCGTAATTCCTAATTAACCTATTGTAATACCTATCCCAGGTTTCCCCCTCTACTTTCTTTTTTGAATTTGAAAAACCAACCTAAGTTCGCTTGAGGTCGCCCACGTCGACCTCGTCCCAAATGGGCTGCACTTTGTTTAGGAACTAAGTTTATTCTATATATATAGTATAGTATATATATATGGTAGCAAGTCAAGAAGATACATATACGATCCCCGAGGAAACTTTAGTTGCATTTTTCGGCATTTTGCACAGGTTTTGCTAGAAACGAATTTGATTTACTTACTATAATTCGTATCTTTGCTATTGTATTGGAATTATCCCTAGAGTTATATATAGGATTTAAGAAGCAGCAGCAGAGAGTGCGAGCAGTAGAGAACCGATGTGTGACGAACCGCTGGTTAAGTGGACCAACAGTCGGTTGATCTTTGATCTTTGATCTTTGGGTCCCTGCAGATCCATTATTACTAGGCGTAGGTGACCACCACCTACTGGTGGATGACCTACCGAAAACTGGAGTGTTGAGCAAGCAATACGAGCGAAGGCCCAAAAAAGGCAGCCAATCTGCGGAAACTGCAAGAGCCCCAACTCGCCGCCTCTGGGCTTTTTGATTT